TTGGGTGGCCCTGCACGGTATAGCTCATGGCTTCATTGAGTTACGCAAGCCCCTTCGCCACGACAAGGCAGTGATCCATGAAGGGGCCATCCTAAATTAAGGATTACTAATATTGTACATAGTAAAGGCTGAAGCATCAAATTAATTTGAACTACATGAATTAATATAGGTTTTGAAATTAATACTGAATATAACCCTAAGCTTCTAATAAAGTAAATTATTATATTATAGTAAAAACTAATTAGGTTTGCGCTAAAGAAGAAGGAACAAAACAGGCAATCATAAATTGCATACACTAGTGTTATTTTTAATGAATTAGTTATAAACATAAACTTATTTAAGGAAGGATTTTTAAAAATTTTTTCAGTCTATTATATATGTTGTGTGTGATATGTAATATATTACAAAATACTGCACGTAATTCAGATTTCTCAATTATGACTTGCAATTTTAAATTTAGATTGTAGCCGTTAGTGAGACTAAGAAAGCTAATAGGGCATGCAATTGTTATTGAAATAGGGTTTTTTTTTTGCATGCGTTGTTAGATTTTTCCAACATCTCTTCCTCCTCCTGAAAACACTAGACAATTATGTTTTGTCTTCTCTTAAATTTCCTATTCATAACTTGTTTTGTAACATAGGAAGCTGCTGTTTAAACAACGGATCCAACTGAAAATAAGGAACTACCTATAAACATCTCTTGATCCTAACCTATAGATATCTTTTTCAGCATTTATAGAAATACTTTCTATAGGTGTTTATTAATAAATTGATTAACATTGTATAGATTATGATTATAATTAACATATATATGTTGTGTTTTGAATTAGGCTAAAGTTTAAACCATACCACTCTGATTTGGACAGATTTGATAAATTTATGAAAAGAAGTTGGATTCTTCCAAAGTAGACTGAATCCAGCTATAGAATCCTTATAAAACTTTGCTAGTATTTCACAAATTTGACTGGACATTGAGATGATGATGATGATGATGATGATGATGATGATGATGATGATGACGACGACGACGGAAATTTGTGATAACTATTACGATGAATGAATTTTAGCAGGGCTATCCAAGCACAGTTTTTTTAAGGAGGGATATTGCATAATATCTAATGGGCCTGTTATAACATTTTAAGTCCTTTTAGTTTTATCTAACTTCTAGGAGCAAAAGAAGAAAAGGGTTTTGTGAACTCTCTGAGATGTGAGACATCGCAAGGCTGGGTATTGGTGGAAAATACTTGGTGGTGGATCCTTTCTACTTCTGCAATACATCCATTGCATAAGCCTTTTCCTAACTGCACTCTTTCTGAATGAGCAGAAAACTAAAGAGACAAGTTGTTTTTTTACTGATCTCAGCTCCCTATTCCTTTCATTCTTCATCTGAGAATTTCCAAGTTTCTTGCCTAGAGACATATCTATGAAATATACCATTTTCAACAAACATTCCATACAGATAAAAACAAAAGTGAAAACTGGTTACAATCTGAAAATCTTCAATTATTCAAGAATCACTGCTACTATCCTTCTTAAATTTCTTTTCTTTTTTTGTGAATTCTAAGATGTATGCCATTTCCATAACAATTACTCACCAAAAAAAAAAAAAACCCTCCCTCTGAATCTGTTAATATCAAACTTGGTATATGTGATCTCCTTAGAAAGATCAATTTTGCTTGCAAATGTTATCCAATTCAGAGAAGAAATTTAAATGTTTTTGCCAGCTTCCCTCCTTTCAGCTCTCAAAACTTAAAGGCACCTATGGCAAATCCCTCAATCTCTGGAAGCTTAATGTTCTAAAGAGCAGTTACTATTCCTGTAAATTTAATCTAATTATATATAAAAAACAAATATAGTGATAATTGTTTCTTGATCTTAAACGACAATTAGTGAGAGAGTAGTAATTTTGAATCAATATTCAGACCTTGAATAGAATAAAGAATAAAGGAGGTTGGGTGAAGGTGGCTTTATATCAGTCCGAGATAAAGGAGACTGTTTTCTGAATCACTCAGAATACAAACTAAATCTTGTAGATTGTACACATCCCTACAATAATTATTTTTCTTATTCATTCTTCTAGCTAAATACAGAATCAATTAACTAAATAAAGATTTGAAAAGACAGAACAAAAGTATTATTCCAAGTTTATCAAGTATTACAATATTTTCAACTATTAAACATTAGGCTATAGTCTTTGACAAAAGAAAAATGAATTAGAAGATCTTACCATCACCAATTAAAACCAAACTGGATTGACTGGTTGCTTTTCCATCCTGAATTTGAAAGGTGTAAGTACCTTCATCCACATCGCCAAGTTTATCCATAAACATTTCAATCATACCAGAATTATGATCAATCTTCATCTTGTATTTCTTTAATAACAAACATTACAAAGAGAAATTTCATTTTCCAAGCTCCAAATGTAATCTTTCCTAAGCCTTCACACAGTTTGATAGCAATCTCAAGGTTAAGATATAACTTAATTGCTCCCTTTCATAACCACACTCATTTGGCTTTGGGCACATGTGTAAATTTCTCCTGAATGAAACTCAGGGAAAGCAAGTTGGCAATTAAATACAAATATGCACAGGACTACATGACCAGCTATCATGTCATCCTGAAAGCAACAAATAAATGTTTGAGTAAATAAGAATGAAAGACACAGAAAACAAAGGCAATTAATCTATTTAAAATGCAGAAGGGGGAGCAGGAAGAGATTCTGAATTTGATCCAGTGGCAGGAGAGCATTCGTGTTAATCCTAAGGATATTTATGGGTGTATGACCCACAGTGCATGATCCTTGCTAGCATCATTTTTCAAGTCCCTCTCTTCTCCAAACCAATTCTCCAACCACTCTTGTACTGCTATCCATCACCATATTAAAAAATTAAAAACAGAACCAGGTACATGGTGGCCCAATCAGTGTCAAAGCCACTATGCATGAGGAAGAGTAAGGCTATGTCTTTCCCTAGACCTTCTAGATCAACAAAGAATTTACCCTGTATGAATGCAAGGGAAGAAAAAGAAAGCTGGCATAGCAGAGGGGCTGCTTGGGGAGCAGTTCCACTTTATGCTTGGCTCTGGGTCTGGAGGACAGAATAGGAAATCAGGTGTCTCTGCATCAAATGCAATATCAAACTAAATGGATTAATGTATCACACAAATTAGATGTATAAGTGTATCAACAGAGGATCCAAGATCGTGATATTGTGAGTAGTGGAAAAAGTGTTCAAGAAATAAAGCTCCCAATGTTGCAGTAAAACCCAACTTCACACATTCTCACATATTTGTATTGTTCAATTTTTATTTATGGTATTTAATGCCATAAGTTTAATTATATCCTGCTCTTCTAATACTGTACCCAATCGATCACACATCATAATTATAACATTATAGAATGAAATAAAATATATATTTTAAAAGCATTAGCAAAAAGTACATCATGCCAGTATTTCTATTGTTAGCAATGATTGCAACAATCAAGTTTGAGAACTAACATGGCATGTGAAATATGTTTGAAATTTTAATTTTAAAAATATTTCATACCAAGCAATAATTTTCTGACAGAAGCATTCATCAGCTTACCTCTCCATTGAAAATTTCCTTATCATTAAATATAAAGTTGACTTTGGCATTGCTAGACAATTTCTCAGCTTGCAGCCAGAATCGCACCTGTCCCTTTTCCAGAGTTTCAACTGCCAATTCAGATTTAAGAGGAACAACTGTAATAAAAAAAAAAAAATCTCAAAAGGGATTTTCATTCTGTTCATAAGCACTCTGTTTTTCCCAATATATGCATGGACAATTTCCTATTGACATGGCTATCTGAAAATATATGCAAACATTGTTTTGTTTTGTTTTCTATACATGTTATTTAGTGCAGTGAAGTGATTTCTATAGAACATGGGTGCTTTTCTATATTTTCCCTATACCTGGATATATCACACAAACAATACATATACAGAGATATATGTGAACTTATCTATACTGCTTATAATATTTTTGGCAGGATTTCCAGTTAGACCTGCAGACTCATAATTAGTACATGGAAGGACATGATATGGGGCTTTCCATCATGATTTTGTCACTTCTACTCTTATTTGTTGCAAGTATGCAAAATCAAATAGTTCTTTCATATGCATTTTCCCTCTTGCTTTTCACAATGATATTCAGCAACATTTTACAATAATATTGCTGAATTTTCTGTTGCACAGCTTTCCTGTGCAGATTACATGCATGGGAGTGTCATAACGGAAGTTCTGTTTAAATCACAACATGATGATGCACATTTTACCATTTCTCTCCCATTGTCCCCTTCCCTCTGCATGCCCATGTTATTGATGTCATTATCAATAACTCTTGTTGATCTATACAAGTGATAGTGTATTCAGGATTAGATACTGCAGTACCTGAAATGGCAGCTGCTTCTCCCTTCTCTTTCACTCCACTGACCTATTCCCCTCCATCTCCTTCTCCTTTTAAGCAGGCCTAAAAAATAGCATTTGCCACTCTTTTCATAAACTAGGAATTAGGCAGGCACTCTCAAGGTCTACCACACTTGTAACACATTACTCTGAGGAAGGACCCCTTTCTAGCACAGCATTGATAGGCAAAATGATCCTGGGAAACCACATGGAAGCATCGTGACTACTCTTCTCTGACGGCAAATGCAATATGAAGTGTGTATGGGGGGCTGGGGGGGGGAGTGGAATTGCTGCAGGCGCAATTATCTGTGGCTCTTCCCAGTTCACCACGGTCCCTCAGGATAGGGAGAGTCTTATAGTTGTTGGTAACCCACTCCCAAAAACAAATGCCGTTGCTCATTTTTTCATTGAAAACATTCCAGATATGCTTAAGTTGATTTTGAAATATGTCTATTCTAACACATAATAAAATCTATTTGCTTTATAGTTAACTATATTATGGCACACCAATGTAAGTTGCATAAAACTTAATCTGTAACATTATTTCACATCCCTAGTGGGATATAAGAAGAGTAATGTTTTGCAGAAGTAGAACAGAATAGACAAAGTCCCCAAATTTAGATTCTGCTTGGCGTCACATCTCCTTGGAAACTGTAGTGCAGGCCAGGGAATCTGCTGCAATAGCTCTGTTGCAAAAGAATCCAAGGTACTGAGAAAGTAGGACAGATCATTACTTAATTATGTTTTCTGTTCCTTCTGATCCTTTAGAGCTGGAATACAAACCACAATGGCAACTGGTAACTTAACATATTCCCTACTTTTGCATAAGAACCACGAGGCAGAAAGGGAGACCAGGAAAAATTCATTGCAAAAAAACAAAGAACTTTTCACCTATTCTGAACTTCTCTTCTGAAAGAAGAAATATGACTCAGTCCTATCACCTCATATAGCTTCTAAATCCAAGGAACCTTAAAACCACATGTGCTGGTACTTACATCAGCCCGTACTATAAAAAAAGACTCTTTGTTATATTACTTGTGTTTTACTGTCAAGCCTGTGGCAATTTTAGGCTCTTATATATAATTAGCTGTGAATATTTTAGGCTAAAATAGAACAGAGAAAAGCCTAAAACCCAGAAGCTAGAGTGGAAAAGACCTAAAACTACTGACAGTTGGGGGGAAAATTCATAGCAGCCTCTTCCACTTGAGAAGTATCAGAAAACTCTCTATCACCACCACATATGAGAATAAATTGACATTTAAGGACCTTTTCAGCCATGTGAACACTAAGGCTCACATTGGGCCAGCTGTTGTCTCCATCTTCCATGCAAATAGGTAGGGAAAAACACAAGTTCTTATTACCTAGCAATGCCACTGACTGAAGCCCTGATTATCCCTATTTATTTATAGAAGTAATTGGATTTGACAATGTACTCCTATTTATTTATGGTATTTTGCAGCATTCTAGTGCATAATAAACTAAATGAAGCATAAAATACACAAGATACAAATTAAAATGTATTGAATATTATTTTAAAATGGTAAGATAAGGAGGAATGAATTCTTAATGCTCTTTGGAGCAGGACCATCTAAATCTGTTTGCTAAAAGCATCTGAAGGCATTCTGAGCAATCAAAGTACCACTCTTCAAGGTAATTGCAGAAAAGGCTTTGCTATGTGTGGGATCAGGCATTCATAACATTAGAATCTGTCAGCAATAGGACCTCATCTTATTCTCAGGAGTGGTTTTCATTTCACTGTTTTATGGACTGCCATCTAAAAGTGCGAGTTCTAAGATAGTCACAGCAAGTGATAGCACCTAGGTGGCCTTGATTGATCTTGAAAAACTAAGCAGGGTTAGATCTGTTGAAAGTTGGATGTACTTGGGAGACCTCCAGGGAATACTAGGTCTGTAGACTAGACTAGGAAGTTGCAAATGCATCCTGGGAAATGGCAATGGCAAATAACCTCTGTATTGGTGTCAAGAAACCACCATGGACAACCAAGCTCAGAGAACTTCACATTTTCATACAGTGAACAGGACTTGAGCTCAATGCAAGGAAATATGAAATCTGTACACAACCTCCTCCTCACATAATATTTTTCTTTACTTACCAGGAAACTTGTGTTCCTGACTGAGTGAAAGCAGACGCTTCATTTCTGCAAAGCAATATAGTATAAGTGTAAGAAAAGACATGTTTTGGTATATTTCAACATTTCATTTTATGATTATTCATAGTCTTATGTTTATTTTAAAATGTATCTTGTTTTGTATTTCATATCAGAGACAAACGTCAAGACATCATGTAGAAAAAAGATCATGTAGAAAAAAGATTTTTGGTTCTCACCTTCCTCATCCATTGTATAGCTCGATGAGACACCATCTGTGTCAGTTACAGCACAGGAATATATACCTAAATCTTTTTCATTGAGATCTTTAAAGATAGCTTTTGACCTTTAAGACAAAAAAACTTTGTTCAGGGAAGAGATAGGGGTTTCAATCAAATATAAAGGAATGTCCACTTACATACTGTAGTTCACCTTTCCCAACCTAGTACTCTGGATATGTTGGATTTCAAATCCCAAATTCTCAACCAGCATGGCCCATCCTGAGAATTATAGGAATTAAAATCCAATATACTTGGAAAGTACCAGGCTGGCAAAAATTGCAGTAGCTGTGTTTAATAGGCATGTGCATGAGGAATTGCTAGGTCAGGTATTACAGCATATTTTTCAAATAGGCAGAGCAAATAATTGAAAGCTAGCCTCATATAAATAGCATTAAAAAAAACCCACAGTGATAACCAGAGAATAGAATAGAATAGAATAGAATAGAATAGAATAGAATAGAATAGAGTAGAGTAGAGTAGAATAGAATAGAATCTATTCTAGATAAGCAATAAACAATAAAGCTATTCTATTCTATTCTCTGGTTATCACTGTGGGTCTATTCTAGATAAGCAATAAACAATAAAGCTATTCTATTCTATTCTCTGGTTATCACTGTGGGTCTATTCTAGATAAGCAATAAACAATAAAGCTATTCTATTCTATTCTCTGGTTATCACTGTGGGTATAGAATAGAATAGAATAGAATAGAATAGAATAGAATAGAATAGAATAGAATAGGCTTTATTGTTATTTCACCATACACTACACACCAAGTGCATAATAAAATGAAATTCTGTCGCAACTGACTCCCAATTAGACCTGACTAATACAATTTAAAATACCATGATAACTATACAGCGTACATTTTTACCATCTGGCAACAGATTATATTTTGCATTCTATAAAACAGAAAAACATTTAGCGAGCATTCAAAAGTCTAATAGTCTGGGAAACAAAACTGTTACTCAATCTGGCTGTCCTACATTGAATACAGTAGAACCTCTTCCCAGAGGGTAACAAAGAAAACAGGCCATGATGTGGATGGGAAGCATCACTGACGATCTTTCGAGCTCTAGACAGGCAGCGCGCATATGCTAGGTCTTGGATGGGAGTCAAAGAGATCCCAGTTATCTTTTCTGCTGCCCTTACTACCCTCTGCACAGACTTTCTATCTGAGGCACTACAGCCCCCAAACCAGATGGAAATACAATTTGTAAGCACACTCTCTATAGTGCCTCTATAGAAAGTAAGGAGAATGGGGGATGGGAGATGTACTTTCCTCATCCAGCGCAGAAAATCCAATCATTGCTGTGCTCGTTTTACCAGGAATGTGGTGTTAAGGGACCAGATCAGACTGTTCGTTAGCTGCACCCCTAGAAATCTAACATTGCTGACTGATAGAAAGCATACATAAAACATAAGAAGATAATATATGGCAGATCTGTGGTTGGCTTTTCTCATCCATACATCCAAACCTGGAATAAGTCACAAAGAGAAAAACAAATAGCCATGGTCTGGATGTAATCCATTAGATTTTGTCTGAGAGGAATCTTTTGAACAATGACAGATTTAGAATAATCATTCTAATAGTCTACTGAATTATATCCCATATTTTGAATCAGAATGTACACAGCTGGCAGATTTATTTCTCTTTTCTCTGCACACATCTCAACTCTCCTGAAAGTGGAAGGTTTGTAATATATCCAAGGAACTACAGGGAAAAGAGGGGAAGGAAACTTTCTTTGTCGAACAGTTAAAATCCCATTACATGAATTAAGTTTACAGATGAAAAAAACACATAACATACAAGTATAAAATAAACCTTTGTAGTAATTTTTTATATTTCTTACTTTCCACCTTTGGTGTCAATGGCTAATCGAGAGTCATCATCAATTGGTTCATAATTCTTGGACCAAATGAACTGAGAGTCTGGTGCCCTCTGATCACATTCAAAATTCAGTGAAATGACTCCATTGTCATCAACATCAGCCACAACTTCTTTTGTCCCTAAAAGGAGAAAAATAAAGAAAGAAAATAAAAATAAAAATAAAAATAAAAATAAAAATAACATCTGGCATATACAGAAGTATGTGAACAAAACCAGTGGAAAAAATTAAACTCTTAATTTTTTTTCTGAACAAGCATATTCTGTCAGTGATTAGACAATTATCAGTATTAGCTGCATTTGGACATTATAATCTATGTACTCTGATTATGCAATATGTAAACTTGAGGAGCTACAAATGAAATGCTTTGGCAAAGTTCTATGCTTCAAGTACAAGGTTCTGAAAGAGAGATTCCTGGGTTAAAATATCTCCCTGTCAATGTTTTGAAAAGCTGGAAAAACCTGGTAAGAAATCTATGTCTCCTCTCTATCATCTTTGTTATTGTTTTGCTTGAGAGTATATAGGAAAAGAGACTTAAGTCAGAGAATACAATATTTATATCCTCTTTCTACAGGAGAACAGGGCACTTTATATTACTCTACAATTTCCTGATATTCCAGGAAGCAACAAATATAAAGCCTTCATCTAGAAGAGGAAAGAAAGTAGTAGTTACCATTTACTTGTATTAAACAGGTTAGTTTTCTTTTAGTAACTATAATGCAGACTAATTAATACCACTGTATGCTGTTCACCACTCAAAGATATATGGGCATCTTTATTTTCATCAGGGAAAATCAACAAACCTGGCCGGGTTTCTGCTATTACAGGGTCAGTAGGATCTGATGGTTTCCCAACACCAGCTTTATTTGCTGCTCGTACACGGAACACATAACTGGTGCCTTCTTTGAGGCCACTTATCTAGAAGACAACAATATAGAGAAATCACCTATGAAAATTTTTATTGCTTGGAAATGATGCAGAATGCCATAAATGAGGATTCATAATCAAATCCACTTGAGTCCATAAATAAATATAGATAATAGGGTCTCCTTGGTGTATCAGATAGGACTTTTACAATTCTAATCAAAATTTATGCTTCCCCTGCCTATAGCTTTACTCTCCACTGGGGCTGGAATAAGAATTTACAATTAAACCACACATCACTAGGAAGAACTGCTCATGAAGTATAGAACTACAGATACAATAAGCACTAAATACATATTTATTTTAAATTTAAACATGAACATAATCAGTAACAAAAATATAGACATGAAAACCCCAATGTGAGTAGAAAACCCATTGTCCTAAGTATTTATTTCTTCAACAACCATTGCCATGATATCTGATTTGCCTATTTCTTGAATATTTCTGATTTTGATGTAGTAAATCAGATTTATTCCCAGCCCAACTTCAGCAGTTTGATGTGTACAGAAGGCCGGACAAATTTAAACCCAAAAGGAATACAAAGCAAAAGATATATTTAATAAAGATCCATATAAGTGCATACAGAAATACAGAATTTTTTATCTACATCACTATACCTTTAAGAATTTGTTTGTAATAGGTTTTTCATTCACACTCTTCCAATGATCATCTGATTCCTTCGTTGGCTTCACATCAACATAAAAACCAGTTACAGGACTTCGGCCAACATAAATTGGTGGTTTCCATAATAAAACCAAAGAGTCTTTCCTAACTTCATTACATGACAAATCATAGGGTGGTCCTGAAAGTTAGGAAAACAATAACACAGAAAACACCACAGTAATTATCAGTGTATAGATAAAATAGTTATCAGGTAGAAAAACATGTAACTAAACTGATTTAAGCTGGGAAGAAATATGGCAAATTGCTCTGTGTCCATGATAAATGCCCTTTTATGTTTATGTTTATGTATGTAACATGGATTTCCCATATATGCATACTTTCGTTTGCTTAGTAAATTTTGAAGAATAATATTGGAATCGTATTTTTAAAAGCCCCAAAACTAATTTTGTATGTTACTAACCTAGTTCTTTAGGTCATGTTAGTTAGTGAACATAAACTATGCTCTGAATATCAGGAGCTAATTTCTATAAAGGTTAACTTCAGAACTTAACATACTTGATATCCTTAACAAATTTGATATCTGGGGACCTTTAAAAAATGGCCTCCAAGAATGATGGGAGGGGAATGTCTGGCAATGTAGTAATATCTCCAGGAGGCAAGGCCAACATTTTGCTAGACTTTTGGGTGCTTGGAAGGTTTCTAGAAAGGGGGGCAATAGAAAATAGGTACATGAAGCCTACCAGAAAAGGGTGAAAAAAACATTAATTTTAGTAGTAGGTTTTGGGGCTTTGGGGTTTATACAATGTGATTAGGGCCAGGGGTTGCCACCCAACTTCTAGGATCAAATTTCTCTAATCATTTCAATAAGTGGCAGAACAGAGAATTTATAAGTACAAGCACTAGTTCCTCCTTTCTTTCTTCCTTATACTGGGTGAAGCTCCAGCTGCTGATTCTAACCTGGAACAGCAATGGTCCATTCTTCGCATTTAAAGGGTTGGGTGGCAGGAGAAGGTATGCCAAGCCCAGCTATGTTAGTAGCAGCCACTTGAAACTGGTATGTCATGTTCTCCTTCAAATCATTTATCTGCAACACAATTGGAACAATACAACATGTTAATACACTACCCTACAATAGAATGAACCAAATATTCCAAGTCTTTATTACTTTAAAAATAAATATTGCTGAGATATACTTTGAATGATTGACACAGAAAAAAAAATCAATGTACCTTGGCATCATGCTTAAGATGTGTTCATTTTTTGATTAATGTGTGTGTGTGTGTGCACGCGTGTATGTAAATATATATACACACATGGATTTATATATAGCACTGATGTAGATATCCAATATTATATTACCCTAGAAAATTGCTGGAAGTCTCAATTTTGTTTTATTTATCAAAGCGTTTATTTATTTTTATTTAGCACCAGCATCATAGTCAAAACCAGCACTGCATTTTGAAAATCACAGGTCTTAGAACAGTTTGACAAGAAGGGACAAATTTCAGGGGAAAATTAGTAGATGTGATATAGACTACATTAGTGCTGTATTATGAAAATCATGAATGATAACAAAGACCTTATTAACCAAGATGAGAAGCCAATCCTGGTCAAAATGGTCCTTTAAAAGTGGAGAAAAAAATTCAAAACTAAGTATAGATATCTTTGAGAAAACAAATCTTTCAAGGGACTATTATTTTAATATAGATGAACACATATACTAGGGATATAATTAAAACAGCACTCACATGATAAAAAATAATCCAGATATAGGTTTGGATTCTAAGATAAATCAACTTGACATTAACAAAAGGAAAGTTTTGAGCTGGGGCTGGTGATGGTAACACTGTGGAATACCCCAAATTAGGTAGCAGTCACATGTCTAGAAATATAAAACTCTCTTACCCTATATGCCCTTTCACTAATGGCTTTAATGTTAGCTTCCTTCCATTCCCCAGGTACTCCACCAATCACTTCCCTGTAATTCACATAATAGCCAGTAATTTCAGCTCCACCAATCACTTTTGGCTGTTTCCATCCAAGAACCATTGAGTCACGAACACTTTCAAGCACTGTGATGTCATATGGTGGAGATGGAGGTGCTGTTTTAGGGTGAATAATTTATTATTAGGATAGAAGTATTCAGTTATTCAATCAAACATCTGTATAGAGTTATTCATAGTTTATCCTGGATTTTCCTCTCTTCAAGCAAAAATCAAGTAGTTAATAGAATACTTCTGGGTAAGAAATAGAGGCTTCCCTAAACTCCATATCCATAAGGAAAAATATTGATTAAGATGTATTATTTAGGAAGTAATGTAATACAGAATGAATACGTGTATCATTGTTGTAGCACAAAATGACTATAGCACTACTTCACAAGAGTGAAAAAGTAGAATGGAAACCAAAGTATTTTTTAAAAGGGACATGCCAGTGGTGTATGGGTGTATGTGTGTGCTTTTATATAGTATAGTTTTGTGGGTGTGTACATATACTCTTTTGCTGAATCTAAGCATATTGTTTCACAGATGTTTTGTCTTCTTTTCCTCCTTTTCCCACTCTTCATTTTTAGTATTCATGATGCTCTAATATCACATCTGGTTTACACCTACCTTGCACACAGTGAGTGCACACCACAAATTACAGCAATCCAACTGATGTGCAAATGAAAATATTTGGAGCTCTACTGTATTTCTGAGTGCAGCAGAGAGAAAAAAGTAAATCTCTGTCTACCTTCATTGACATCTAATATTCCTTCTCTTTCCTGCAATGCCTTCTTGATCTTGAAAATGCATAACTTGGAAGTAGTTTACTCAGAATCCTGTTTTTCAGCTGTTGAATCTTTTTGCAGAAATGCTTACTTATTTCTTAACTAGAAAAAAGAATTACCTGTGCAATCATATAATTTCACAGTAAGATCTATGAAAGAGACTTGCTTAAGGTAACATTAGTGAAAAGGGGTTACAAAAAAAAAAAAAAACCAAACCCAGTGCCATCTAGAGCAAAGCTTTTTCAGCACATGCCAGAAGAATGTGAGACTCATTTCTTCCTGAGGCACACATCTGTTTCTCTGTGGCATTGGTAAAATAAGGCAAAGTCCATTAATTTCTACTGACTTTCTAAATACTTTTAATATAGATAATTTAATCTAAATGATTTAGATTAGATGTTCCTGTGGTCTTTCAAGTATATGATTATGCAGCAAGGAGAGTTTCTGTAACCATGGCCATGGGTGAAGTATTATGGTAGTCAGATATCTAAACAGCAACAACCTGCTAACCCCTACCCTACCTGCCTTCCAGAAAAAATTCAAGACCTGGCTCTGCCAGCTTGCGTGGGGTGATAACAACCTTACCCAGTCCTGGGGGGTGGATAGCGCCTTGATGACACTCCCTGAGTGATTGCCAATTATTCTTGGAGCTATTTATTTGTTTATTATTGTAATTTTGTAATTTTAGTGGATTTTAACTGTTTGTAAACTGCCCAGAGTCGTTCAAGAGATGGGTGGTGACAAATTTGATATATAAATAATGAATGAATAATGAATGAATGAATGAATGAATGAATGAATGAATGAATGAATGAGGTACAGAATATTTTGACAATCTCTTTAATAATGTACTCCTGATTATTGCAAGTTCATGACTTGATTGGATGGTGACCCATCTCCATTTCATGCAAATTTAAACATTTTGGATTTATTCTTTCTGAATACGAAAGATAGCTATAATGGGAGTTCTTCTTCTTTATTAGATATGCATTTACAAATGTTTCGAGTAATGTCCTGATGATTTAGAATATGTAATTTATTTTATGATATATTTCTTCAAGGCATATTTACCCTGCTTTTCAGCTGAAAAGTTATCACAGCAGTGTATGTTTTTATCTCACAAAATGACTGATATTATACTAATTAATAAATTTACAACTTTCTTTTATTTTCTGTTGTGAAGAATTAGAATAAATTATAAAATCCTGGAAACTTAATACCATTACAAAATAAGTCCCTAGGTACTGAATGTATAAATGGTATCAAATGTTATCAAGATGTTTTAGATACAATATAGATTGATATCTCTTAATAATGATAACAAACTTAATAAACATTAACCAAATTAGCAAATAAATGCAACATGCAGGCTTGTTGTTAGATGCAACATATAAATGTGCCATAGTCCTAGTTACCTCCATATTTGTAATGATCTTTGATGGAAGCTGAGCATTTATTAGATGGAGATGATCAAAATGTAGCACTGGCAAAGATGTCTTTTGCAACTTGGATGATCACAGATTATAATTGTTTGAAATGAAGGCACCAACAAGGTGAAATCACTGATTATGACCAAAGCTCACCTATGTCATTTTTCTTTTGAGTTTTCTCCAGTGTTGAACGATCCCCAGGAACAGACTTACGTGCATGCTTGGTAGTTGCCTTTTGTGATGAAGGAGTAGGAACTGTGTCACTCACTTTACTGTCTGACGGACTCCTCTGCTTACCAGAGCTACTGGGCACTGTTTGCCTAATGGGTTTAGCATTGTAATTTAACAAAGCATCTGTGTCAAAGACAGGCTGGGAGGACTCATGCATGCCTTCCCAGTTGACAGTGCGGCCTGTTAGTCCATCAGCTTTACCACTTAGTCCAGGACATACACCATGAAGCAATCCTCCCCCTATAATTGCCAGAAAATAACAAAGACATTTGAAATTAGAGTTCATTCCCAATTCTCCATTATTCAACAGAATGAAGAAATGGAGACAAAGCAGGACAATGAAGGGACACTGAAGAGTTAGCTACAGACAATATGTATATGGTTGGATTATATGAAATTTTAATACAAAGCATACAGTCATGCAGTTAATACTTCTATGAATGTTCCACCAAAAGACCTTCCATTGTCTTCAAAGATGGTATATGTAAGTTGTATATTTTTTGGAAGGGGGGAATAGTTATATGATTTATTTAAGCAACATTAGCATTATAAATCACTGAGTTGATGTTTAAAATTTAGAGATACTCAGAATAAGATTATTGATGTTTTAATTATTTTAAGTTTTTCAGCAACATGCAAGATTAAAAAAATCAGAACATGAATATATGAGAACTGTATTAATTGAGTTACTAAGGAAGTAAACTAGACAAGTGAATTAATAAACTTAATTTCCCAAGCTATTGCATGTTAGAAATGAAGTACGTACTACATTATGGAATCAGTCTGCCAGATGATTTCCAAGTAATATGAGGGTGAACATACTTTTTATACAGAATTACAAGGAACACACCCAAGGATGTCTGAGATGGTGAAGGTGAGCAGTCTACAAGTGCTTATTGATTGGATGACTATGAAACAATGGAAGTTAAATATTAAAAATTACCAATGCATATTCAATGTGGACAAAAAGTACAGCCAATAAATATTAATCAAATCTCTAGATATAATGTTGATTTGTACTTCTGCTATAGGAACAGTACATTGCTTACCAATAGCTGCCTTGACTTCAATAGCTTCTGATTCCTGTGAATACCCACTTAATCCAGCTGCGTTAACAGCTCTGACACGGAAAATATAGTTACTTCCAGTAGTAAGTCCATGACAAGTGAATCTTAAGTAAATCAATGAAGAGAACACTGTTAAATTATATAGTTTCATTCTTTACACAAACAATTTCTTAAAAAATTATATGAAATACAGTACAGGATTCTTAAGTAATAAGGTAGGATTACAAAGGATATAAAGAGGGGGTACTCCACTGCAGAAATATTTAATAATTATTTTCTTATCTTCCCTTTCCTTTCTTCATCAAGGGAGAGGGGACAGTGGGACTGCATTCATGGACCTTGCTTCCTTCATTATGTCCAAGAATATCTTCAGTTTGAAGTTCAGCAGCAAAGAGCTTGATTTACCCATGTAGACTTCTGTATGAATGCCTAAATTCATGGAGGGGCAATGAACAAATTCTTGCTCTCACCTCTTATACAACAGGAAATATATGCATAGAAACACCTGAACAGCAATTCTTTAAAAGTTCACAATGGCTGTATCTTGCCACAAAATGCCAAACTGGACAATAATTTGGATAATTTTACTTGTTAACCTGAACTTAACCACAATGCTCTTAAAGTAATTTATTCTGAAATGGTGCCTCAACTTATAAAGCTTGACATATATATTGCTTTGGTTGAGATAACCTATGTTTTTTTACTTAGTAACTACCACTTTATTCTTTACCCTTACTTATGGTTAAAAATGCTGGCAAAATGGTACGAATCATTACTGTGATATTGAGAAAAAGTGCTCTCTTGTGTATCTTGGAATTGGCATATTTAATGCTTCTTATAAATTGCAGGGCTTTAGGGTTTATAGAGAATTTAATAGGCGGTTCTTGAATTAAAAAAAAAATCCCCTCTCACTCCTATGGGTGGTATGTGTCTTCCTCAATCTTGGATC